ACAAATATTTCATCGTATCTATTGAGAGATTATATGAGAAAATAAACTAATGGTAAGTTTTATTTTTTTTTGGTACACAATCTTAAAAATAAAAATTTTTATTTCTTTCGAGATCTTTCTGGATCTCCATTTAAAGATTCACTTGACTACATGATAGTTTTTATTTATTTCTACTTAATTTTAAATTGCATCTTTTAATTACTTCATAAGTTTATAAAAATAAGATTTCCATAGAATATTGTATTTCATAAAAAAAATAGTGATTAAAAAATGCTCTATTAAATTCGGGATATCCCGAATATTATTAGATTAATTCCTTACGTAGAAACTCAAAGTGTAATTTATTATTATTATATAAATTACAACATTATTTACAAATAACAATTGTTATATTTTTTTACATCTTTAACGTTTAATCTCGAACGCTTGCAAATGCATTCATATCACTTTGGAAATTGAAATAGCTGTTTTACAGCCGCATTTGATCACATTTGTCAGAGCTTGGTAAAACGGTGTTTGCTCGGCGCCGTGATCTATGCCCGTATCATGATGCTCCTGCTCTTCATCTCGGAACTTCTTGATGGTTTCGAGTATCTCTTTGTCCACATTGTCGCTATTCTCCATCAATGTACGTAACTGATCGTTGTAATGCTCGACGATCACAGTCTCCACTGCCACAGTGCACGCCATCGCTGCTTTCTTGCCCATGAGAGCAGTACCGGCACCCAAAGCGAACCCGAAGATATTCCACAGCGGGGTGAGGATGGTAGGTCTGACTCGGTACTTGCGAATCAATTCCTCGAATTTAGCGCGGTGTCGCTTCTCTTGATCCCACATGTGCTGTATAGTCGGTCCGACCGTCGTTCTGCCTGCGGTTTCGCAGAAAACCATTAGAATTCTAATTTATATCTACATACATTATGAACTCGGGCAATTATACCTAGTACGGCCATTTGTCCGGCGTATATTCTATCAGCTCCCAATTCGCCGGCATGATCGACTCTTATTACAGAGTCTAGTACTTTTCGGGACGAACTCCTGGCTGCTAATGTGTTGGCCAGTCGTATACCCACTCCTCTGACATGCAACATTTTTCTGTATAAAATTTCAAAAAATTAGATTTCTATCACTACTTATGAAGACCGATTATACCAAACAATTTCAGGTATCTGTACAGAGAAATGTTTGAACGGAGGAAAGTGTATTCAAAAGGATATCTGTGAATGTCCAAAAGGCTATTTCGGCTTGCGCTGCGAATTTTGTGAGTACAAACAATGGTTCAACGGGTCTCAAAAAACATTTCAAAACCATATAAAATTTAGAAATTAAAAAAATTTTTATATTATGTTAAACAATTTTTTATCTTTTCAGCCAAATGCGTTATTCCTTGTCTCAATGGAGGCAAATGCAAGGGTACTAACATCTGCAGATGTTCAAACGAATATAAAGGCAATCACTGCGAAATTGCAACCACACATATAACGTCACAACGTTCAACATGTAGCAAGCCATGTAAACATGGAACCTGTCAATCAAACGACACATGTCTCTGTGAAGCTGGCTGGTACGGAAAGTTTTGTCACAAAAGCAAGCCGTGGGCTTAGAAACTAATGGAATATCTTCAACGTTATTATTATTCGTACCAACTGAATCCTTTAGAAAGCGACGTCATTCTAAAATTACTAGATGGAATTACGGCAGATTGTGTTTACATATATATCCTGAATTGAACGGAGAAACAAAAGTCTATGCGTTCGTAGAGAAAGAATCTCGTGATATTAAAATGATTCAAAGAGATTTGTAATGTATTCTTGTTTTTATTTGATGTGAAAAGAAAAGTATTAAAAGCTTTCACAAAGATTTAGATCCAAATCTCGATTGGTAACTAGTGTGATGTAAAATTCATAGTTTCTAATTTACTCTGCCTCAGATGTGATATGTAAAGAGCTGCTTTATGTCATTTTACAACATTATTGTATTTAGTTAATACTACTTTTATACTGTAGATGTAACAATTGTAAAAACAAAATAGGAACAAAATGTATTTTCTGTAATGGTTTTAGAAAGCATGATTATGAAATAATTCAGCATTGTAGTAATGTGCCTGTGATGGACTTCTTTCTCCTATACTATTTTTTTCTGTACATCTTAGAATATAGATAAATAAATGTAGTTTTATTATATAAATTTTATGAAAAGAATATGAATTTTGAAGTGATCCAAATAACTTTTAACACTTGAATATAAAACATCTAAAAAATGATATAGGTCTAATTTCGAAAGAATTTTTAACTTATATAAACCAATGTAGTAAAAAATTTTAATTTAATCATTTACAAAATTATTGATGATGTATTTTTTAAACAATTTTAATAACAAAGATTACTTGATAGATATTTCATAAATTACATACAATAAGGATTAAAAGTAAAAGAATAGAAAGCCGAGAAAATCGTGGATAGCTAAGGATGTATGAAATGTATAATCTCTACAAAAAGTGACTGGAATTGAAAATTTATGCTTTCTGCATAAAAATAAATGTTATACACACATAAAAGAGTTTAATAATGTCAACTTTTATATTTAACAATACAATTGTATAGTTTAAATGAAAATTTTTTCATTTTATCTTAATTATTATTTAAAAATACGTCAACTTGTTAAAATGAAATAGTTTTTTTCCAAGTTCTAAATTGTCGCCAAACTGTTTTACTTTCAAATATATTAAATATAATATAGGAAAATCTGTAATTTTTTCATTTTGTTAAAAAATATGTATAATATGTCTTTAACAAATAATTTTATACGCTTGTATTCATTTGCAGAATCAAAGCAGTAATGTATTTAGCAAATTTCTACATGAACTCCAGGAAATATTTATTATCAAATGTATGCTTTGCATCAGATATAATGTCAAAGAAATCTATTAAATAATAAAAAATAATACAAAGAAGAAGCGCCAAATGCGATCTAAACTGGATTTTGCTTAATAACACTTCTATGTAAATTTTAAATACATTTTTCAGTTAAATAAATATTACTTATTTACAGGATAGGGAACCTAATTTAATTTGTTAATAAATAATTTAGTTATAGTTAGTTATTTTGATAAATGTGTATTACCCCACCAAAAACCGTGGTATTTTCAGTGATTCACAAAATTAGTCATAAAAAAACATGTATAAAGTGTTTTAAGAGAGGAATTTATTGTTTTTGTAGGAAAAATTCGACAATTGTACTGCATATGTTTAAATTTTAAATATCAATTTTATGCTGATTAAATACGTTCACAGTTATTATTCAAATTTTTCTAAATTGATGAATTTGATATACTAAAAATGGCAAGTTTATATACGAAGATTAGCAAAGACCCAGTAATGTTCAGAAGTATTGTCTACTAAGAATTATGATTTTTTTATGTGGTAATTAACAAAATTAGTTATAAAAAAACATGCAATGTTTTAAGAGGGAAATTATGATTCAATAATTTAAATTAATTAAAACGGAAAGTACGAATTATAAGTTTTAAATCAAACTATTCTCTGCTATAATTAAAATTACATAAGCAAATTTGTGTTTTTAATTAATTAAAGCAAAGAATATGTAGGTATGAACTTTGAATCGTGAACTATTCTCTGCTATAATTTAAATTATATAAGAAAAGATATATAATTGTCGAGTATTTTCCCACAAGAACAATAAGCCCCCCTCATAAAACAATATACATATCTTTTTATAATTCGTTTTGCTAATTACTGAAAAAAAATCGCGATTTGCAGTGGAATAGTACTTCTGAAGATTTAAGTAGTTACATTTTTTTCGTAACTGTAATGAAGTAATACTTTTTATATTTTAATGTGAGGTTTAGTGTGAGGATACATTTCAACATTGATCCTATAACTTTGGTTGTAAGTGTATGTATTAATTTGTTACAACAAATATCATATATGACCGAATATAATGTAATAAGGAAAATTTATGAATGAAGACTTGGTGTTGAAACATACTTTACAATTTTCTGACAGTAAACCTTCATTATTAATATTTATAAAATTTAATATCTTGTATTATTTCTTTAACTTGTTGGTCTTTACCTTCTCAAGTTGCTTTGCATACACAAGCATGTCTTTCTTTTAAGATTTAGTAAAATAATTTAGTAATATTAGAAATGCAAGATTTCTGTATTTAAAATACAAATGCAAAAAATTACAAACATTGACAGAAAAATAACTACTTATTACTTTCTACAGTAACTGTAACTTTTTAAAATTAATAACTTGTAACAGTACAGTTACACAAAGTAAATATTTACTTTTTGAGAGAAAAAACTATAACTTATTATTTGGCAATATTAAACAAAGATGATACGATCACTGTGTTACGTTTACTGGAAAGTACCATGTTCACAATGCTTCAATTAAATTTATTGTTAATAAAAAAAATTCTATTGTTTAACACAGTACAGGTTTTCACTTGATAAATTATCGATAAAATTAATCAGAGTTTAGATCAAAGTCCTTTGCTTATAACTTAAAACTAGATTGCTTGCACGATAAATAATCGAAGTTGTAAAATCCTTTTTCAACGGGAAAAATATGTTAGATAGGGAATCGGGAATAGTGCGTACGTGAACGAACGTGGCGCTGACATTTGCGAGGTGGATTTTCGAGCGGCGAAAACAATCGGACGATCGTCGAGGAGCGAGACGGAGCGACGCCGGACGCAGCCAGAGACCCGCAAAGATCCCAGAGAGGGTCGCGGTAGAAAGGTATTCTCGGGTCGAGAAGAATGCCAGGGATATCAGCCAGAACAGGTAGGTTATGGTCGTCCGACATGGCGACGTTACGTCCGACGTCGTGCGGTCGTGCCGCGCCGCGAACGGCAGAGGCAGTCACGTGTCCCTCGGACCAATGGCGGGATAGGTACGCGGTCCGCCATGACGCGTGCCCGAGCGATTCCCGCCAATCGCGCTATACCAAGCTTGTATATATGTACATGGCGTTGGCGCTCTCCCGGATCGCTGCTGCCGTTCGGTGGATTTCAACGGGGAAACGGTGAGTGCTGGCGCGGTAGGCTTGTAAACTTGGCACGCGGACGATCGGCGTTCGTTATCGGGCGTGCGCGACGTCCTCGCCATCCGCGAAATCCGTGCAATTTCGCATCGTCTGCTCGGGTGGGCCTGCATCGCGCAGACTCGCCCAAGATGGCCGGTACCGTGTCCGCGTTTTGTTGTGGTGGTGGTGATGGAGGTCCGCTCGGTGCCGATCGATACGCCCGCCGCCGAATACCGGCCATGGCGGCTACCGTTGTCGTTGCGCGTCACGCGTCCTGAGGTAAACGCAAGTCGGCAAGTGGCCTCGCGTTCGCCGCCGCAGGACCGGCCACGGTGACGGTGATGATAAGCGCGGGCGCGACCGCGTGCGCGGGGCGTGGTGCGAGAGCGTAGCCGAGGCGGTCGCCTCCCCGCAGACGCAAAGAGCCCTAAGCCCTCCCTTGAATCCACTCCGCGGGAACACACCAAGGTGCGTACGCAACTCGCGATTTTCACTGGGCCTGCTCCATCGGCTCCGCGTTACCGAGCAGTCGTCGTGAGCTGCTCCGCTACCCGGCTACCCGGAGGTGGTCTCTTTTGCGTGTGCCCTGCGCATTTTCATTGCCCCCCCAAAGTATCGGCCCGAATAAACGCGCATATCCCCGCGGTCTCCCTCTCTTTCTTTCTCCTCCTCCGTCTCTTTCTCATCGTCACTTTACGCGCGCGTTCTTTATCGCCGCGTTGTCTTGTTGTCGTCGCCTACTGTCCGTTCCGTTTGTCAACTTTGTCTCCGCAACGAGATGCTGCGAGATGGACGAGAGACGCGGCGGCGGCGGCGGGGGGCCCCCCATCGCCCTCACCGTCGCCTTCGTCGCCTTCCGTCGCTCTTCTCCATGCACTCCTTTATATCTACGTGGATATTCGCGCGCTAATTCATCCATCAGGAGAAATATGCGTGCGAAACGCGGAAGTCTTCTATCCGTCTTCACCTGCTGGTACACGTCGCCGTTCGCAGCTCGCAGCTCGTCAATCGTTCGAAATGTATATACCCTAATTTACCTCTGCGTTTTTTTTTCCTTTTCCCTTCCTCCGGAAAGGAAACACGTGCTTTTCGATCTCTTTTTGCTCCCCAGTTTCCGGCAAACGATGTAAACGCGAGACCGGACGTCGGAAACTGTTAACATGCGGGAAATGTTAAGAATAATACAGTAGTACGGTCAATGAATCTTTTACATGTGTTCAGTATTTCTGAATCACTTTAATAACAATTGTACACTGTACAGCAACCTCGTTAAAAAACTTTCAAATAAAGGTACTTGGTCATTTCAGGCTAAGGTGATGTGAAGAAAAAATTGAAACTGCCAAATCGACGACATCGCAACTTTCCACGGTGTGATTACAATATTCAAGATACCAAAACTGACAAACAGGTAAAGATGGTGTCCATGCAAGATGCAGAGACTAGCACGATGCGCAGGCTTTCAGACGACGACGACGATGATCCCAGTAGCGGGTCCGAAACCTACGAGGAAGGAGATCTGCTTTCAGCTGCGATGGATGATGATGTTACAGCTCAACTAGCCGCAGCAGGTTGGCAAATCAAACACATTAATGGTGATTTCCCATTTTTTTTCGCTTTTTCATTTTTGTTTATTACCTAACCACCTTTATTTATGGATCAAGCAATATATGCAGGATGCATTATCTTTCTGCAAGTGTTATTTAGCATTATGGCTAAACTTCCTGCAAGAACACTAAATTTCAAGTAAGAGAATTTGATGCTTTACACAAATAAACATATATACGTATATATATAAATGTAGCTATAAAAAAATATACACTGTGTGTATATATAATATGAAATGACTTATTAAAATTATATTGTACATTTTTTGCAATTCTTTGTATGTCTCTATTATTGAAGATAATCTTCGTTATTTATCAATCTGAATTTATATTAGTCTATAATTAAATTGAAATATATACAATTGTATTTATGGTATACATTAAGTAGTACATCATATAGTAAACGTTAATAAAAAGTAATTGTACTTTATTTTATATAAATTGGTTTTTTATATTCTGTGGAAAAAACAGACCGGCCAAGAATTGAATGATTTATGAAACGTTTTAATCTGACATCTTTTAACCTAAATATGAAATATTCTAAGATATTTATTTTTTAAAAATCTTATTTTAATAATGTTACGCACAGAATAATGAGATAAATTATTGTAAAAAAAACCCCCCTTTGAAAAAAAAATGTTTTGTATAAATATATATGTGTGTGCGCGCGCGCGTGTGTATATACACATATACATACATACATATATATATATATAACATACAGGGTGTTTGATAATTCTGCTGACAATGCTTGTGGGCAAATAGAGCAGACTAAACTGAGTCGAAAAGTCCCCTACCATTTTGCAATTTTCGCAATAGTTAACAAGATATTAATTATTAAAAATCACTGAATATTGGTCAATAATTTTTTACTTAAATACTATCAATTTTACAGAAAAACAGCAAGAGACAAAAATTGTTTATTTTCTTCTCAGAGTTCTTTTTTCAGAGAAGAATTTTTTTATCAACTTTTTAGTACTGCATTTTCTTATTGGCAACTATTTTTACTAACATGAGAAAATACAATATTAAAAAATTCTGAAAATATTATCAGAACTATGAGAAGAAAATAATCAATTTTTGTCTCTTGCTGTTTTTCTGTAAAATTGATAGTATTTAAGTAAAAAATTATTGACCAATATTCAGTGATTTTTAATAATTAATATCTTGTTAAC